TTAGAATAGAATACTACTTAATCTACCTGCCTTATACCTACTAACAGTTAATAAAAGATTAAATGTAAAACTGATTGGCTATACAATTTTAAATTTAATCCCGAATTTAATACATATTAGTGAATACCCACCAGTATGATTTCCGTGGGACTATGTCAAAATGGACATAATATAATAATTAATAGGTATTAGGTACCTACATCCAATAGGAAAGAGCTTAAGACGAACCGCATTCAAATTAGTTGAAAGTTAACCTCATACATTTGTATTATTAAAATTTGCGACAGGGAATCTTCTGGYGGAGAAAGGAAATATTGGCAAATACGATACTTATAGCGAGATAGRAAAAAGCTCCAGTCGAATTTAGGGGAGGACGCGTGAAACATTGAAACATATGGCCGCTGAGCAATAAATCCGTAAATTTGACCTCTATAGTCCGTATTTATAGAACACGTTGGTCACACGGGATTTCAAGGTTATTATGGGCGAAATTCTAGTGACACGTTGTAAATAATCGGAAAAATTGAAGAGACATGTAATACATCAGAACTTGAGGGGTAATGGGTAATTAATTAATCACTAATATTAATGTGTAACAACACGTGTGTGTCGCATCGTCTGCTTACCCGTGTCGAAAAACTTCATATAAATGGTGTCGCCCTTCTGGGACGCGGGACTGACGATGAAATGATTAGCGAATATCGTTCGCTTCCGACGACTTGGCCAAAGCTGGAACACAAAAAAAAAAATCGTACACGTATTACAAGACGGAAAACCCGTGGAAAAACACAGGCGCTTCACACTTAAAAATACGAAATATTATTTTTATAGATGGGTAGTAGCACGCTTCGACTCCTGCGGACAGATCGATCGATTAATCAGGTATCGATTAATCGTCGGGATCGAAGAGCATACTTGCACACAAAGTTATCGTCACGATTAGCAATGACTAATACGGGCGATTAAAATAATCAAATAGGTTTTGGTAAACTCACATCGGTATCTTTGACAAGTCTCCAGACACGTCGCGTTCTTGTCGCGGGAACCGTGTCGTCGGCTTTATTGATGCTGTTGCGAGACGGCGCAATGTTGCGATATTTGAAATTCAAAAGAGTCGGGACAGACGGCGAAACGGGAATGACAAATGCTAGCGACGACGACGGGACTGCGTCTGATCGATGCGAATCGCAATGCGCGCGCGCGCGCACACAAAAACAGAGATGGAGATAGACAACGCGCACGTTGCCGCGACTTCGGGACGGGTGTTGCACTTGTGGAGCGTTGGTGGCGAGTTGCGACCGATCCACCGAGTGCGCGAAGCGGAATGTGTTGCTCTACGACTTACGGTTCGCGGGGGCGTAATAGAACTTCTTTATCTATGGTGCGTAATGCACGATGTGGAATTTGTAAGAGATCGGAACGGACAACGTAAAACGCCAAAAACGTTTGTTATATTAAAAAAAAAAAACATTTATTAATATGTTGATAAACGTACGAAATCACCTTCCCTGTGGACGAAGATCGAACATCGAACGACAGAAACGTCGTCCGTCGTCGGCACTCGGCAGTGGAGGAGGGGTTACAAAAATTGCGAAAACGAGTTACGTACCCACTACGTAGTCGTACGCGGTACGGTGGCGTGATCAAGACGATGACAACGGTACTGCCAACSCGACTGGCCCCGGGGGGTCACGGCTAAGTTGGCCAGTCTGTTGCTCCGCCGGGTTGCTCTTATCAACCACAGACCCCCTCCTATTATACCGGATGTGGTTACGGATACGGGTCATTTATCTATTCCGCGGGGTCACGTCGTGCTCGTTTTAGTAAGTTGTAGTCGCCCCGATTATATTATAACGCAAATGTAGGGGGATAAAAAATAAACCGTGCTACCGACCAACTGAAGATCGAACACTTATCACGCACACACGCACACGTACGCGTGTACAACAACTACTGTGCTATTGGATTTCGGTTTTTTTCCGTTCCGTTTCGTCTGATAGTAAGACGTCTCGCGTGTGCCCGCCCTGCTCGCCGGACGTGATAATTCGCACTATTCGCAGTTTCGTGGTTCCGCTAGCAAGCGGCACGACTACGTTACTTACGCGCACCGCTCGTGACAGCCGCCGTTGATGGTGTTCCGTTCCGTAACTGACAAAGCTAACGTCTGAGACGCACGTCATGGCCGAAGTGGCCAGGAGAAACGAGGCGCCGCCGGGCGATGGGGTGAGACA